AATGTTCAACACCAGCGCAGCTTGCCCTAGAGCCATTGGAGAACAAAAAAACTACTTTAAAATGCGAATTAATTGTATGTAATTTGTATTACGTTGCGGAGAGTGACATATTATATTAACATACAGAAAGTTTTTCTTTTTAGATTTCTTTCGAGTGAAATCGTCTTGTCAGATTCGCTGTGTAACGTACAGTGCAATAGACAAATGTGTATCTTTAATAAGTACGTATATGATACGTTAGACCTTTTTGTATACTGGTGTTCAATCTAATAGGATTTGAATGTCAAACCGGCCAAATGTTTGTGTCGCGGGACACTGACCCGTACCTGTCGCGGGACTCTGTCCCGTACCTGTCGCGGGACCATCTTACCATGGACACACTGCGCCCGTACACGACCAACGGCAGGATCCGGTTCCAGATAGGCAAGCTGGTCAGCGATATAAACTGATGGGCGCACGCAAATAATGCATCGACTAAAGAACGCGTGTACAAGTATGTAGTCAGCAAGATCCTGGCGACGATTAACGAGTTCCGCCACGAGGGTGTGGTGCTGCTCGTCAACAATAAACTGCCGGGCTACAAGAACATCTGCGCCTTTGTCGAATCGCGGATCCTGAAGAACCAAATGTTTAAGATCAAGATTGTGGCGTGTATCCCGGCCAAGAACGGGTACCCGGTAGAGATCAGGGACCCCAAGCACCCGCACTATATTGGCCAGCGACGGTTCAACACGGTGATTGACCTGTACCCGTCACTAACACGGGACCCGTCGATGCTGTTGTCGCTGAGCAATCCGGTCCAGGACTTTACAACCATTTCGTATGACTTTTCAATCACGGGGAGCAAGCAGGAACGCGGCGGTGTACTAGTACATGAGCGAGTCAGAGCACGATTGCCTGATTGAGAAACGGAGAATCGAAAACTTAAGGCTGGATAAAAAATAGGTGAAAAAAAAGTTAAAAAAAACCCGTTATGCTTATTTGTTCGTATTCGTTCCGTCGGTGGCAAAAAAAAAAGGGTTTCCCAAAAGTAAATAAATGGCTCAAGACAATTGCAAACCATGCCGTGTTCACCAACTGGATGTAACCCCACCACCGTCGATACCCTGCCCCACGGCCTGCCACACCGTCTGCCCAACCATTCCCCCGGCAGTTAACTACTACCTGCTAAAGTCCGTGTGCCCACCGGTCGCAACCCAACCCTCCCTGCCCCACCGTCGTGCTGTGCACCAAAAGTGTCAACTTTATGGACATGAACGGGAACAGCCTCAGCGGCGTCAACGGCGCGCAGTTCCTGTTTGTCAACAACGGACAGGTCACCTCTGGCTCCCAGCTGTGCCGTGACGGGTACGCGCAGTTCCTACAGTACCGCTAGTTTTTATGCATATAGGGTTCAGTGTAAAATCAGGTTTAAGTTTCATTGTAAAATTTTGGTTACACTAAAACTAGATCGCGCAGCGGCGATACTGCTGTTCGATACACGTCTCAAGCACGTCACGCACCATATCTCAGTTGACCCCATTCTCCCCCATAAACTCGGGCACCACCTCCCCGAGCTCGTCCATGTCCAGTCCGAGTCGCATCCCGTTGTTCTCTTTCTGGATCGGTACACGCAGCATACGGTCGATAAGAATGTCCGCCACGTCCAGCTTTAGCTTGCACACCCCGCATGTGTGATCTCGCGCGCCGTATTTACACACTGGGCGTCCCGTCGCTCGGTACATTTTGGGGTGCTGTATTTGGCAGCGGTGCTAGGAGACCTTTGGCAAACGTCAGCGGTGCTAGGAGACCTTTGGCAAACGTGTTGCCGTTCTACAGCACGGAGTCCCCCTCATCCGCGTACGGCATGGTGTGCCGCATATCCAGCCCGCCGTCCGTGCCCCGGGGACCCTCTGAACCTTCCGGTCCCGCGGGCCCCGCCACGGGCGCGTCGAGATCAATGGCAACGGGCCCGGGCTCGCCGTCGACCCCTACAAAGTTCGGGATCTCGATCACGGCTTGCGTGTCCAGGGGTAGCTGGAGACTCTTGGTTTCGCTGCTGTACACGATACTCTTGATGCCCGACCCACAGGGACCGTTCTAGCCCTTGGCCAACGACATTTCACCGCCGTTTGTGTACTCGTACACACTGCCGACCTTGATCTTGACGGGCTGTTTGGGGGTTATCCCACCCGCAGTGGGTTGCCGTACCCCAAGATGTATCTCGAGCATACCCCGCGGCGTGACGGCCAGACGCTCAAAGTGGAGCCCGTCTAGCCCCTATGGCCTCGAATACCCTTGGTGACGCGTTCGGTGCCGTCCGTCTACGACACCGTGACGGTATCCGCGTTCTGGTCGAGCACAACACCGCTAACACCCACACCCTCTGCGCCCTTTTCGCCGCGCGGCCCCGTACTTTTTTGAGGGCACGGGGTTCCGGTGAACGTTTTGCCGCCCTTTTATTTCTATAAAAATGCACAAAATACAGTGCCCAGGCCCAGAGGCCCAGACTTAACGACGCTTGCACCCGTGTGCCCACGCACGCTAATAGGAGCCAATTTGGTACTATCATCATCAGCGTCTGTTTTCCTCAACGTACCCAGCTGGATTTGGTACGTACCACCCGCAAGGTCCATCTGCAACATGTCGCCCTCTACCCAGATCGTGGACCACGCTGTCCGTTGTATGGACTAGCAGGCGGCCGTCGGGCGCTGTGACAATCCGGTCAACATATGCGCCCCTGGGACCCTGGGCCCCTATTCGCCCATGCAAGGCAGTGTTACTTGAATCTTGGCTCGAAACGACTCCATCAATTTGTGTTTAATCCAGTGAATTTTACACTCGATTGATTTATCCTCAGACATGTTCTCTACATGAGCGCTGTGTACGGCATTGAAAGACCTTTTGTAAAGATGTTTTGCCCGCTTTTATACAAGTTGACTGCGGTGCAAACACGTACTTATACTAGTGTGCGAAAATACATGTACATATATATATGTGTGTATACATATACACATATGTACATGTATGTATGCATACATATATTTACAAGTACAGGGCCTGTGTTTTGTTTCCAAAAGCAAATAGAAAAGAGCTAGAGTCTAGGCTCCCGAGTCCGAGGCTGTGTGAGTGTGTTTTCCAAAATCAAATAAGATGCAGAGGCCGAGGCTGTACGAGTATGATGTCCAAAAGGGCTCGGTCGAGGCTGAACGAGTGTGTTGTCCAAAAAGAATATAATAAAGCTCGAGTCTAGGCTCCCGAGGCCGAGGCTGTATGAGTATGATGTCCTAAAAAAAAGGGCTGGGTCGAGGCTGAACGAGTGTTTGTCCATTTTTTTTTTTAAAAGGCTCGAGTCTAGGCTCCCAAGACCAAGGCTGTACGCGTGTGTTTTCCAAAAAAAAAAAAGGGCTGTATATGCGTAACTTAACGTCAGTGGCACTTTTTCCAGATATCGTGCACCCTCGGCCGGGAACTGTGTATTGTCGGCTACGACAATCTCCCCGTACACGTATCGGCTCGCCCCCGGTTTCAAGTTGTAGCAGTCGTCTGCGTATGCGCGAACAAATGGTCGATTCTTTACCGCAACTGGTGTCCACACAGTACCGCTTGATGAATTGTCATCATCATCGTCGTCGAAACTCGTTTCGACTGGTCGACAACATCGCCGCCCGTGTCCAGTTCATTCGGAGGTCTGGACACAAGCTGCTTTAATTTCGGCAAAAAAAATAAGGCACTTTGGGGTTTGGCAAAAAAATATGGCATTTTCAGGATTGGTAGAAAAATAAGGCGATTTGTGGTTTGGCAATGTTTTATGACAATTCTTGCAAATAAATAGGGGTATTTCGCTTGATTTGTACACTCGCAATTTTATGTATGGAAATGGCGCTACGTCTTTTGGGGTTTTATGCTAGACTATTTCTCTCTTGATTTGTACATTCGCAATTTTATGTATGGAAATGGTGCCAC